AATTGATACAATTATGAGGTTGAGCTCTTAGTTTAATGTAACAATTGTCCTCAAATAGATTGCATGCTCCTGCTCACACATTTATAGGCGATATATGTATTCATATATATCATTCCTATGTGATTTTTTTCTTTATAAAAATATGACGATTAACCCTGTTATTTTTCAAAACGACTGCTACCTTGGAATAGTTATTGTGCTCTTTGCCAAGTGTGAAATAGTCATCAAACTATCACGGCAACAATCCGTTTCCTTCGCTTTTCATCACGGAACCCTTCTCGTTTTAACCGGATTTTGTCGTTACAGAAAAAAGTCACTTCGCTATAACAAAGCACCCATTTACTGATTTTTCGGACAATAGTAAGTTTAATGTCCCCAATGAAAGCGCCTCGGGAAATAGCTGTTGTCTTGAGGCACGATGAACTTGCTATTGTCCTCATAGCCAGTAAATAGGTACAACGTATATAATATATTTCATATTAAATTCGTAAGGGTTTGGCAACCCGGACACTAAAATCCCCTTTTGAAGTGTTTCCACCCTCACAATTTTAATGGTTCAAAGTACAAAACTACATTTTTTTCATTTAATATGCATTAAATTTTTCACATTATTGCAAAAATGTATAGGTTACCATATTATTTAAGATGCGGAACATAAAAAAAAAACATAACCGTCAACATTAAAACATCGCTTATTTGTTCGTAAACAGTGTCATGAAAAATATGCATAAAATGGTTAAAATGCATAATAAAATTATGATGCTGAATGTTCATAAATACTTCCTACTAATAAAATAATTTTGAATTATGATTATCAGGGAATTTATTTTACATTATAAGTACGGTAAAGCAAATGCCTATATGAAGAGGCATTAGAAGGGGAAATTGCCCTTGTGAACATTTTTTGAAGATTGATTATTTAATTGATGATTAAAGAATATTTGCATCTTTTGAATTCTTTTACTTAACCATATTTATCATTACACCCATTGTAAAAGCATTCTTCCATAATATATTGTTCTATTAGGTATGAATTTTGACTAATTACAGTTTTTGCAAAAACTTATGACATCATAGGAGGTCGGAATTATCTCAATGGGATATATGTATTTCACAATGTTAATGAAACACCCAAGCTGATTATAATTATGCACCTAGTTCATATATCAGATATCCAAATCATAAAAGCTCTTCAAAGTATAAAAGCTGTTTATGTTCCTTAGTTCTCCAGCCAGACAACTGAGCTTGTTTTTTGGTTAAAGCAGGCAAAAACAAACAACATCATTGAAGTGAACAATGTCATTTATTGAAATAAAAGACGTAAAAGTAGTAAAACATATTTACAATACAAGAAAGGGGGTCAGGAAAGGGGACTTAATATAAAATATTACATATCTTTATCACAATATTGCACAATCTGACCCTCAGCACCTTAATGTCATTGTAAATGATATACAGTAGAAAAAAGGGGGATCAACCAGCAGACTATGGTCAACGGAACACCATCCCTAACAAATAAAACTTGTATCCTTCAACTTTTTGTGGAATCAAGGTCATTTTGCGCGCACGTGCTTGCAAGAGCGCGCACGTGCAACATGTAAAATGACCAATATAATTGATATAGCCGTAACTTTTCTATTTTTCTGATGAAATGTGTTGAAACTCAGAATATAAGAATATATTAGTATTATAGACAAGAGGACATGGTCGAATTATCATGAACTCACGCGCATGCATATGCACGTGTGCTTCGCTCTGATTGGCTGAAACAAAAATCTCAATATCTTATTCGTTTTTTGACGAAATACTTTGAAATTTAAAACATAGTCATGCATTAAGATATCCTACGATATGATTAACCCTTATCCTGCTAATCGCGACTCTGAGTCGCGCTGGCTTATCTGATCTGCTGCTGCGGATCGCGACCTCAGGTCGTTTTGAGGGGTTTCCTCATCTGATGCTTGTTTCCCTGCTATTTTTAGCAGAGCATCCCATGTCAATGAATGAAACAAGTATAAATATAAACCAATGGTTTAGAATTTGTAAAAATATACACCAATCAGAAAGAATCATGCACATAATCACCATCCAAAATAGATGGTACTCCAGGACAAAGAAATATTCCAAAATGGCTGACCTAAATATGCATGCTTTTAGTCTCCGGAGCTTTGTAAGAAAGGAAAGAAGTTTATACACTAAAAGGAATATAATTAAGCTACTATCTAAAGGTATAATAATGATATTTAATGTATCATTATAATTGATATTTATAGCATTTAAATAGTTATTCGGACTTATTATCCATTATCCATACTGTTCAATTTAAATCGAGGTAAATGCAATAAATTGTAGGAATATAGAAATAAAATTAATATGAATAAAAAGCTCTTTCTTTTCTCCATATTTATAACACAACTTATGTGTTGATGGCATCAAAGATAAGGATGCTATAAGCTGATAAGTAAATGAAGTATGCATTCACTGCGATATCTGTTTACACTTAACTTTCGCCGCAGCAGTGGAACTGATAAGCCATAACTTTGACCGCAGGATAAGGGTTAAAAAATAATTTTCATGAAATCACGTGCATGTACGTGCGCTGCAATCTGATTGGCTAAAACTTTAAATGCCTATAACTCCCTTCGTTTTCAGCCAAACAGGATGGGATTTAGAACATAGTCTTAATGGACCCCTACAAGAGGGTATGGTCAACATGCACATGCATAAAGGTGCGTTCACGTGCAATATGTATAAATACAAACGCACTTGATTTAGCGTATTTTCGAATACTTTTTGATTGCCTTGATATTAAGTTCATTTAAATAAATTAATAGTGTAGGTACAATGATATGGTCATTCCGCATATGCATGCAAGTGTGCGCACGTGCAATGCAAAAATTTGCTATATACTTGATATACTTTAGGAAAAAATTTGTTTAAGTTTAAGATGCATAGAGTTTAGTTTATCTGATGAAGCTTAGAGGGAATGAGGCACCAAAATGAAGTTGGGGAGCGTTTTAGGAACATCTGTAACGGTTCCCGTTTCAATTAGCACTAGTTAATATTGTTGTTATAAAAAGCCACCGGTTTGAACGCTTGACGGGTATTCAGGTCCTACTGAATCTCCACCCAGGTAATCAATCAGCTAAGCTGTATCTCCACTGGCGAGAGAACCCGTATGACTGCCATTCGGTATATATACACGGCTTCAATGTTATTGTTGACAAACCAATCGTTTAGCATCGTTCTTGTATCGTGCGTGATCGTTTGTGTAACGTGCGAGATCGTGCTTGTATCAGACTCTATCGATTTCGGTTTTAATCGTGATGTTATGCTCTTGTCGATGCAAATAGTGTGACTATGTGTGATAAACCTTACATAGAAATGTTACATTTTTTCTTTGATATTCGTCGTATTTATTGGTAATTATTGTGGTCAAGATATTTTTGTTATAAATACATCAAAATTGATATTTTTACAGATAAAATAATAAACAATTCTCAATACTTACATCAATATTTAATCGGCGAATGTACTTTTACGCGATGTGATTGTCAGAATTTCCTGTACTGGTGCTTATCTACGTAGTTTACTTTCAATCATTTTTTTTAAAAAAATGTTAATTTCTTAATAAAAAAAATTATTTATAGAATAAGTGTTGATTTTCAGAGATTAACAAATGGAAATATAGATTTACACATAACTTATTCATTTTAGTACCATAATTTCAATCTTATCCCCCTTACTGCGCATTAAGAAATTAAATTCAATCAAAATTCACGGTCTGCATACATGTAAATCTTCTATAAGTAGAAAGTAAAAGTTCATTTTTTTAAGTCGGAGATTTACTTAATTATTTTTTTTAATCTAAAATTTTTGGTAGGGCATACATGGGTAAATAATTCTTTTTAATCTAAAATCATTGATATGTTCTTCCAGAAACATCCAATTCATTTTTTAAACTATGTCTTCAGTCAATGAAATAATGGAATAATTATCTGAAACTCAAAATATGTATTAAGTCTTATTTCGTTTTGAAAATATTCATTCTTAAATATTTTGAACCATTTTGCGTGAAGAATCGTGCGTTTGCGTTAGCAATCGTGTAAGATCGTGTAACGTGTAGAATCGGGTGCGTAAAGGATCGTTCGTGTAACAGGTTTTATCGTGCGTTAATCGTGCGGATTCGTTCGTGTAACGTGATTGTACGTGTAAGTTGTCAACAATAACGTTGCAGCCACTGTACTGTTTAATGAAACACGTCTTTTTGTTCTGCTGATAAGAATATCTAAAGAAATAATACACATGATGAAAATACTACGAGAAGATGACATTTTTAAGAACTCGTACTCTCGTTGTCAAAAGTACAACCTGATACATACAAAAATTTCATTGTAGTGGGTATGAGGGTAGTGGTAGAAAAAAAACAATAACGTATTTTTAATTTTTTTGGAGGGATCTGCCTATTCCAGAATTTACTCACCTCCTTAGATTAGAAATCAATATTGAATCATTTATCTAAAAAGAACCAGATCCTTGTAGCCAGTATTGGCCATTATCCTTACACCAGATGTTCAGTTTATTACTCTGCCATATATCAGACTTGTGTAAACAAATTATACATCACTATCCTTATCCCTTTATTGAGCAACACTTGATTTTTCCTTGTCATCACCTATTGGAAAAGGAGGGACCTAAAATATTTTCATATGTTTCACCCTTAAATTGGGTTGTTTGTGTCCAGCAGTGAGATTAGTACCTTCATATAAGGTAACCAGCAAATCCTCATCACACTTCAACGTATAAGAATTTAAAGTGAACATGTAAGTAAGGTTACGATTTATCTTTTATTATTTGATGACAGCCATACTTTCTTCAATTTAAAGTCATTTGTTTTCAGAGCCTCCAAAGAAACTTCACTTGAACAGATGAAAACGTTTGTCAGTAAGATCTAAATCTGCTTTTTGAAACATAGTATTGGTAATTTTTCAGAATTGCGCTGTTTCAATGTTGTCTCAGAGGATATTTTTATTATTTGAATTTCCAACTACATTGAGGTCCTGAGTATCCATATTTGCATCCTTGAAGACAAGAACCGGACGACTGATTACAACTCCCATCTCCACCACAGCCATAAGGACATGTTAACAAACAGGAAGAACCTGTGTACCCAGCCTGGCATCCCTGAAGACAAGAACCCGTATGTTGAGCACAACTTCCATTTCCACCACAGTTCCAGGGACATGAACTATAACATGAATCCCCTTTGTACCCAGCCTTGCATCCTTGTGGACAAGAACCAGTATTTTGAACACAACTCCCATCTCCACCACAGTTAAAGGGACAATAGAAATCACAAGTGCTTCCTTTGTACCCGGTCTTACACCCTTCCAGACAATACGACAAGAACCTGTGTAAAAAGCAATATGAATAATAAAAGCTAACTGATAATAAAATGACGCATTTCAAATAGATTACTGTTCTACTATATTCTATTAATTTCTGTTCATTATTTTTCAATGTATGATAATATTGAAATATTACCACCAAAATAATTGTTTAGATTGGAAAAAATATCATTTTAGTTTCGCCAGTTTTTATGAGCAGTTTTTATCATTAAAAATCTATACCTACTTGTCACAATTTCCGGATCGACCACAGTTAAAAGGACATCGGTTTCTACAATCCAAACCAGTGTGTCCTGGAAGGCAGTCGAAGGTACAGTGTCCAGTGTTTACATCACAAGATCCGCCCCAGCCACAGTAAGGACTACATCGCTGGTTACAGTCCGGACCATAGTATCCAATCCGACATGCTTTACACATATATTGACTGGAAAAAATCAGTAACAAGAGAAACAAAATAGAATTTGTACTATTCTTACATTAGATTATGCAATTTTTATGTTTTTTCATTTCCTTTATGTATGATTACGCTAAGGCATCTGTTTGTTTTTGCTGTATTGGATTTATTTGAATTTATATGCTAAAACAAAATTAAAGAAAAATTTTGTTTACCCTCAGAAAGAAATGCAGTGGAAGCAATTAAAAATCCAAGAAGAAGCATTCTGTGCAAATAACCGCTCTCCTATCTGAAACTTAAGGCATAGTCACATTTGCTTTATTTTAAAAGCATTCCCCAAACTTAACATGGTTTGATTTTTAATGTTTAACACATACAGACCTCGAAAGAAAAGTGTATTACATGTGCATTGAAAACTACTAAAAATTATATTTTCCAATAAGATAAAAAATGAGGGCATCTGGTCATGATCAGACATAAAGCAAACGTATTTTTAACATATGGCAAACATGTTAAAAAGGTTCAAAACACATTAGTAGGCGTAAATAATTTCTAATAATGAACTACGACGAGTTTTGAAGAAAAAAACTAAGGGTTGAAGGAGATTTTATTTCGTTGACAGAGAACTGTTGAGGTCATAAGTATATACATGTAACATTATAGAAGTTTTTTTAACCTGCTTTGTTACAACGCTCGTTTTTGGGACCAAATCAACGCACTTTGAAAAAAAGGACTGGATATAGTAAGAAGTAAGACCCCTATCTGGCCCCCCATTTTGGGTGTCTTCCAGCATGATCCAACAGTTTATCCATAAAAACCTGTTGTCATCCCTACCACAAAATGAGCATTTGTTTTAGGATTTACAATACAGTGGTCACAGTGAGGTCAGAAAATAAGTCAATTTTCTAAATTTCTCATCTGTATGCAAATTTTCTTCAATTTAACAGCACATTTTCTTTCGGAAAGATAGCTTGCCTATCTACCTAATTTATATATTTTATACATAAATATCAGATGCAGTTTATGTGTGAAAATCTCAGATAGGCAAGCTTGTGCTCTGTGTTTTCCTCACTCCTCCATGGCACCTGATCCCACCTCTGATATTTCAGGGGTCCGTGTTTGATCTGCTCTTATTTTGTATTGTTTATGGACTTTGAGATTGAATATTGTTCGTTATTTCCATATCCTACATGTATCCCAAATATGATGAAATTCCACCAGAATTGAGAAAATTCTGGAAAATGTCCTTTTTCTACACCCTCTAGCGGTTTCCGATGTAAGCTTTGAATTCAAATAAGTGCTTGTTTTAAAACATCATTTTACCTTCTTAACTACAAAATATCACAATTTTACCAGTGTTCTGATTTTTACATTAAATAAGGGGCCAGATTCGGTTGTAACCCTACCCTGTCCTTTCTTTTCAAATGCCTTGATATCGACCATATTAACGCACTTTGAAAAAATGCGTATGGCTTGGTCAATATTCTTGAAAATTTTAAGTATGATAGATAATTGAACCTGTTGGACATATTGGACCTGTTGGATAACTTTTCGGTGATTAGATTACTTCTGAAGATGAAATTGAGTGATTTTGATTTTTCCATGCTTTGAAAATTCTTTCTCTCTTAGATGTTATACTGTACTTAATATTTTCCAGTTTGCATGTATTTAATGTAAACTAAAATTCATTGAAAGTTTTCAACGTCACACCAGTTATACAAATACATACACTGTATATATGGGTGTAGCATTGGCATCAGTACTGGGTGGGGGTGAGGGGATGGGGGTAGTCACACAAAATGTTTTGCAAAGATATACATAACATAGGAATTAAAAATTGGGGCCCACCGGGGAGGGGGGGGTTCCACTTACTATATACTCATTTTCTACTTGTTTTCGATGAGGGTTAATCAATACATGTAAATTTAAACGTTTTTCGAAATATATGATTATTAAAAATTGATTCTCTCAATTACTAAAATCTGACTCTAGAATGTTTTGTTTTATATATACATTTTTTTTTCAAAGTGCATTAAAAGTCCACATGGCTAAAATGTTGATGTACACTATTAACGCACTTTGAATTTTCTTTTCAAAGTGCGTTGAGTGTGTCCCAAATTTAACACACTTTGAAAAAAAAATCTTTAAAGTGCGTTGATGTTGTCCCAATTTTAAGGCACCTTTTTTTCAAAGTGCCTTGACAAAATGCTTTTTAGATGTCATTTTACTTGACGTATTGAACACCCCTTATAGTGAATGATAAACAGGTTCTTTTTCAGTCTTTAGATAAAACTCTTTCCCTCATATTACAGTCATCATTTAGTGCAATGAATAGAGATACATTTCATTGCCCCATTGCCCATACAGTTTTCTTTCAGTTGCAGCTTAGTATTGAATAATCAGCTTGTTTCTTCCTGTGAGATTGGTTACAGAAATATTCAAACAAGTTTCATAATTAGTTTATAAGTTTATGCCGTTTCCGTAGTTATATACCGTCAGATTTTTTTTAACCTTAAAACAATCATTGAAATTTCAGTACATTTACATGAAATATGTGAATATTGTAACATGCTTAACGGAATGCATAATATATTTCAAGCACTTACCCTCCAGTTTGCATTCTCTTTCGGAAACATGTATTGCATTATATAAAGAGAAAAATTCAATATGTTCAAACAAAGCCGGATGCTTTGTCACATTAGTTCGAAATAATAAAAGATGATATGCGCAGAATTTGAAACATGAACTTTTTGTCGAGGCAGTTTGACTCACAACAGCTGCAGAAATATAATGATTTTAGTTATAGACAGATAAATTGTCATCAAACATCAGTCAGAGTGTGGTGTGACAACCGGATCTGTTATCAATGTTCTGATGATGAAGTTTCAGGACATTTCTGTGCTGCAGTTGAAACATATGGAAATTTTTAACATCAGATTGACTAAAATATGCTGATGCGATGCCTATGTGTCTGATAATATCACAAAATAAAATAGAAAAATAAAATGAAATAAAATGTTTACTTTATTGTGTTAAAAATGTGCATTTCTTTTTCTGTTAATAAATGTTTATGATCACAAATACCAATGCCGTCATAAAATTATCAATTAAAGACTAGAAATTGAGATATATTGTGTCTTTTAAGAAATTGGGAGATTAAGTTCTTTTTTTTTTAGAATGCTTTTAGTGTGTTTGTCTTTTTCACTTTAAAACGTGACGTTCAGTTGTGACGCGGCTACACACGCTATGCTCTATATATAGGATACAAACAAAAAATGGATGCCTGGATTGGCATATATTTTTTA